TTATCAAATACTAAATGGCCGGCAGTCTAGTGACTATAGTTGAATATAAAAACTTTTGTTTGCGTTAACTTTTACCGAGCTTGCCATTAGCTCATACGGCAAGGGCGCTGCGTGCGGAAAAGTTAAACGGGGTCGGGATGTGTTTTGTCTGACTTAGCATTGTTTTTTCCCAAAATTTTTTAAACTTTTTTTCCCGACTTTTCTAACTCTCAAAAGGTTAGGGTTAGGGGTTAGGGGTTAGGGTTAGAAAAGAGTTTGGGGTTGGGGATAGGTTTATCTTATAAAAATTCAACTTTAACAATAGTCACTAGACTGCCGGCCATTTAGTATTTGATAAACCGTGACCGGCTGCCGGTCATATAGTCACTTCGTTTTTTTAACTAGCCGAAGTGATTTTGATTTAAAATAGGAAGAAAGTTGCAACTACCCATAGCAACCAGGATAGCAACCAAATATAGCATCTGTATATATATACATATAAATAAACAAATAAAAACTTTATAGAGAGTGTTAGAGTTATTGTTAACTATAAAATAGTATAAAATAGTATAAAATAGATTTGGATATTGTATTTTAATACTTATGGTTTTCCATGAATGTGTTTTTATAGACAATATTAAAGATGTACTGATGAACAAGGCAAGATATGCAAGATTAAACTGTGTTGGAAAAATGTTTAATTATTTGATGTAAAAGTCTAGGAGTCAGGTCTTAAATAAGAAGTCTGCTAAGTTCTCTCCTAAGTGTAGGCTATACTGGTTAAGACGTCCAAAGTTTATGCAATATGATCGACTACAAACTGTACATATATAATTAACTATTAAACATATGACATTAAAAGTGAAATTTCGTTCGTTTTATTTGTTGTTTAGTTCGTTTTATTCATTGTTGTTTAATTCATGTTTGATAATGATAATGAAAAAAGCTACCAACAACTTATTCAGTTGAAACAACGTTAAAAACTCGTTGAAATGAAGTTAATTTCACAATTTTTAATATTTGTTTTATTACAGCGTTGTTGCTATGCAGGTTGCTAAGACATAGAGCGATGTTAAGTTAAGATTGACTACCGCTGACCGTGTAGTGCAGGAAATTGCTTACCAGGCCCCGCATCACACGTCGATCAGCGAAATCACTGGCGTTGCGCCGCCCTATATATAAGCGCCCGGGTTTACACGCTGCGATTTGTCGTGTACGATTCGTATTCTAGCGTATGTAATCGAATAACCACGCGTAAAGTGGTTGCATTTCAAATTTCGCCATAATCTGAATGAAGAAGAATTGTGGCGTCAGCAGTAAATTTCATACGCCAGAATACGAATCGTACACGATAAATCGCAGCGTGCAAACGTAGCTTTAAGCTCTCTAGTATATCTGGAGGACGTGCTCGGCACGAAAGAGTGTCGCCAAAAACATGGCGGATTTTCACGTCTGCTGACGCCAGAATGACGCCACTGGTCCTAAATCCTCGTGGTAATTACCACTGGCCAACCGCGATCCTCAGCTTCAGACGACGATTTCACCCCCCTGACACAGAATAGATACAGAACCAGAAGTGTCACTCAGACGATATTTTGTCTGAAATTTTACGAGTGCTGACGTGAAAATACGCCATCATATGACGCCTTCCTGGAGTGCACACGGAAGTTTTTCATAGGAAAACAAAGGTACAAAGTTCCGTGTGCACTCCAGGATGGCGTCATAGCACGAAAAAAAATTTCGTACGTTTTCCTTCAGCCAAAACACATAGTAGTGTCCCTTCTGGTCCGGTATCTATTCTGTGCCCCTGGTTTTTGCACAAAAAGGCTGAAACTCTACTGTAAAGTTTATAATTATAAAAAACATCAAGAAAAATACCAAGTTTTTGCATGGCTTCATGATGCCACGATTTTTAATATCAAGAAGAAACACATCTTTTACTGGTGAGATGTATTAAACTCTTTTATTATATAAACATAAGTGTTATATAGAGTTTTTGGCCACTGAAAAAAATCGTATTTAAACACACGTAAAAAATACGATATTTTTACGTGTGAAAATATCATTTGTTGTAAAACGCATTGCCACGGACGTTTTATTGTTTTTCACTGAATTTTGTTTATATAATAAACAGAAAAATACATGGGTGCTTGGAAATACCAGATTAATTTCTCGTATTGAACATGATATCTCACTCGTTCGCTGCGCTCACTCGTGAGGTATCATGTTCAACACTCAAATATATCTGGTATTTCCGCGCACCCATGTATTATTCTCTATTTTCTGTGCTTCATTTGTACTAAATACCGTTTTTTAAAAGAAAAAATTGGATACGAAATTTACAAATATAACGACGCTGTACAGCAGTTGGTGTTTTTGGGCAGGTTATAGTTTTTGTTTTCCTCTGGAGTCCTTACCCAAAGATCCAACATCAACTTTCACATACAGTATTGTAACAGAAATGCCTTAAAATGATGGACAAGTGTCAAGTCACAATTCACAAATGGTGTCAATAGTCCCAACTTATCCTAGGGTTTTAATATATTGTCATAGGAGGCCCAATATATGGTTGTAGGCTAATGGGCACAAAAAAGATCAAAACTGTTTCTAACAAGACTGTCTCTGTAGGAGCAAGTGTTGAATAAAAGCTTGCATGGCTCACACTACAATTTTGATGGCTAACATAGGAGGCCCAATAGATAATTGTACAAGTATAGTTTATAGTTCATATATAAAAAGGCCAGACAATAGACATGAATTTTTCTTGACGAAATGAATATATGGATAGTACATAGAAATAAAAGTCATTGGGTAGGAAGGGATGCCTATTTCACCACACTCTAATTTCTATGTCTGAAATGACATATTTTAATATTTGAAAGGAAAAAATATTATGTTCAATAGCATGTAGACCAAATTATATAGATAATATAGTACACAACTGATTGGATGTATTCTATTACACTTTTCCAGATGCCAAGAAAAATCCTGAGATGTGTCGAAAACTTGAAGACAAATGCCCTGGTTAAATTTTATGCCACAAAGGGGAGTCACCGGTTCAAACCAATTAGTATAATATTTCACTTAACCCATGGCAGCACTCTCCACTTGACGAGTAAAATCGTCTGGCGTTAGACAGAGTAAAATATTACTAAAGTAGGGCACATCAGGGTGCATTGCCACTTAATTAAAGGGGCGCCTGGGTTAACTCATTCAACACCAGCACTCTCCCCTTCACAAAATTGTCTGCCATTAGACAGAATAATAAAGTAGGGTGCATT